ACACCGGGCCCACCCTCAGCCTCCCAGCTCCTGACACTTCTGCAGCCTGGCCTCTCACCCCACACAGGGCCAGACCCAAGCTACATTCGTGCCTGCACTCTTACCAGCCCCCTGTGTACTGTGCTTCCGGGTCCAACTCATTCCAGAGCCTGCTTCTGCCATGGGCTGGAGCCCCAGGGCTGGCCATGATGACAGCAACTGCCACGGCCTCTTCCCTCCCAGGAGGCTCTGGAGCCACCTCTTGAGGTGAGTGGTGACAGGTGCTGCTGTGCTGAAATCAGGCAGCCAGGTGGTGGCCAAGCAGGAAGGAAGCTCCTGTCCTGAGGTGGTCTGTGGGGTGCTTCCATGACCACAGGCCTAACCTGGGTCCCTGGCATGGCTCCTGGGACCCTGTGGTTCCGGCTGGTGGCTGGGCAGGTGGCAGGAGAGATGAAATGCTGGGGTCAGCTTGGCATTTTGAAGGCCTTGGGGAGGACTCCGGCAGTATCCTGTCCATCAGCTTATCTATGGAAGGCAGGGACTGGGCCAAACGGTTGCACCAGCAGCCAGATGTGGAGCAGTTGCTTGTGGTTAGGTGTGGCTAACGCTGCCTCTCTGAGACCAGCTGTTTCTTTATTCTCAATGTGAGACAGAGTGGGGAGCCGCCATGTCACTGGGGGGGTGACAGCTCCCTCCTACCCGATGAAAGGTTACGATGCCAAGGATTTACAAGGTCCCCTTACTGCAGTAGGTCCTAAGGAAAGGCTGTGTCTATAATTTATGCTCCCATTATAGCTTTAATATTTTACACGTTTTCCCTCTTTCATCCGTAGCTGACTTCTATTTGGCTTGTGTTCCACTATGACTCCCAGATCACTTTCTGCCCTCTTTGAGAAAAGCCAGGATCCCCATCTTGATTAGAACAGAATGGGATATTACAGCTGAAGAGACTCACGAGCAAAGGTTGCCATGCAGCGCTGTGCAAGCTAAGGCATGCACAAGGGTTCCTGGCCAAGGGGGCAGCGGGGGCTGAGATCCACATGGCTTCACTTGTCAAGCCGTTTTTTGCAAAGGTGCCTTATAAGCTAACTGCCCTGGTGGAGGTTGTCTGGTCCCAGGGTCCTTCAAACTCTTTTGTCCAAAACCCACAATGAGAAATACAGCTTTTCAAGACATTCTATTTTCAAAAATTTCAAATATCCAGAGAAGTTGAATCTCATTTACCCCTCAGACTCTATCTTAATGTTCTGCACTGTTCTTTTTGTTGTTGTTGTTGAGATGGAGTCTCGCTCTGTCACCCAGGCTGGAATGCATTGACGCGATCTCAGTTCACTACAAGCTCCACCTCCCGGGTTCAAGAGATTCTTCTGCCTCAGCCTCCTGAGTAGCTGGGATTACAGGCACATACCACCACACCCAGCCAGTTTTTGTATTTTTAATAGAGATGGGGTTTTGCCATGTTGGTCAGGCTGGTCTTGAACTCCTGAGCTCTGATGATCTACCTGCCTCCACCTCCCAAATTGAACGGTATCGGCTCACTGCAACCTCCGCCTCCTGGGTTCAAGCAATTCTCCTGCCTCAGCCTCCCAAGTAGCTGGAATTACAGGCGCCTGCCACCATGTCTGGCTAATTTTTGGTATTTTAGTAGAGACAGGGTTTCCACCATGTTGCCAGGATGGTCTCAATTCTCTTGACCTCATGAGCTGCCCGCCTCAGCCTCCCAAAGTGCTGGATTGCAGGCATGAGCCATCATGCCCGCCCTTTTTTTTTTTTTTTTGAGACAGAGTCTCGCTGTGGTTTGCCCAGGGCTGAGTACGTGGTTGGCGATCTCAGCTCAACTGCCACCGTCTTCTTCCCAGGTTCAAGCGATTCTCCTGCCTCTGCCTCCCAAGTAGCTGAGACTAAAGGTGCCTGCCACCACGCCCAGCTAATTTTTGTAATTTTAGTAGAGACAGGGTTTCACCATGTTGGTCAGGCTGGTCTCGAACTCCTGACCTCAGGTGATCCACCTGCCTTGGCCTGCCAAAGTGCTGGGATCACAGGCGTGAGCCACCGTGCCTGGCCTGCTTGTCACATATCTCTTTCTCTCTCTGTCCATCTTTATTTTTATTTTTTTATTTTACTGTTTGAGATGGAGTCTTGCTCTGTTGCCCAGGCTGGAGTGCAATGGTGCGATCTCGGCTCACTGCAACCTCTGCCTCCCAGGTTCAAGCAATTATCCTGCCTCAGCCTCCCGACTAGCTGGGATTACAGGTCCCCGTCACCACACCAAGCTAATTTTTATATTTTTAGTAGAGATGGGGTTTTACCATGTTGGCCAGGCTGGTCTCGAACTCCTGACCTCAGATGATCCACCCACCTCGGCCTCCCAAAGTGCTGGGATTACAGGCGTGAGTCACTGCGCCCAGCCTGTCCATCTTATTTGATGCATTTTAAAGTGTCAGACACCTGTTATTCCTAAACACTTCTGCGTGCATATCATTGACTAGAGTTCAGTATTTGCTGATAATTTGGCTTCTTTTTTTTTTTTGAGACGGAGTCTAGCTCTGTCACCCAGTGTAGTGGCCTGATCTTGGCTCATTGCAAGCTCCACCTCCTGGGTTCACCCCATTCTCCTGCTTCAGCCTCCTGAGTAGATGGGACTACAGGTGCCCACCACCACACCCGGCTCATTTTTTTTTTTGTATTTTTAGTAGAGACGGGGTTTCACCTTGTTAGCCAGGATGGTCTTGATCTCCTGACCTGGTGATCTGCGACTCTGGCCTCCCAAAGTGCTGGGATTATAGGCCTGAGCCACTGCGCCCGGCTGATAATTTGGCTTTTAGATAAATTTACATACCATAAAATACACAAATCTTAAGGTACCCTCAGATTTTGATAAATTCATACACTTATGTAACCCAAACCCATCATGATATAGGCCATTTCTATCACCCTAGAAAATTCCTTGGTGTTCCTTCCAAGTCAATTCCTGCCCCAACCTGCAAGCAGTTTTGACTGAAGAAATACATGACATTTGTTTAATGTGTGGTGTGGTGTGGTCAGGTGTGGTGGGTCACGCCTGTAGCCCCAGCTACTTGGGAGGCCACAGCAGGGGGATCCCTTAAGTCCAGGAGTAGAGGCTGCAGTGAGCTATGATCATGCCACTGCACTCCAACCTGGGTGATTAAAAAAAAAAAAAAAAAACGTTATATTTTGCATGGTGGCCCAGAGCATGCATACCAAAACAAAACTTTTATTTATTTATTTATTTATTTATTTATTCAGAGACAGAGTCTTGCTCTGTTGCCCAGGCTGGAGTGCAGTGGCGCGATCTCGGCTCACTGCAAGCTCCGCCTCTCCGGTTCACACCATTCTCCTGCCTCAGCCTCCCAAGTAGCTGGGACTACAGGCGCCCGCCACCACACCCGGCTAATTTTTTGTATTTTTTAGTAGAGACAGGGTTTCACCATGTTAGCCAGGGTGGTCTCGATCTCCTGACCTTGTGATCCGCCCGCCTTGGCCTCCCAAAGTGCTGGGATTACAGGTGTGAGCCACTGCGCCCAGCCCAAAACAAAACTTTTTAACAAAACGTAGCTTTAAAAAATGTGGTTCTCAGTCTTCTGTACTTATTTCTTGACCCCCTAAAAATTTGCTACCAGCTGCTTGCAAAACACAGGTCTAGGTGCTGATCCCCTAAATAAAAATGAAAAACAAATGCCTCACCATGCCCCCCCTTATGAACCTCCTCACTTTTGAGGTGTTTTGTTTTGGAGATGGAGTCTCACCCTGTTGCCTAAGCTGCTGGGAGGTAGTGGCAGGATCTTGAGTAGCTGAGATTACAGGTGCCCACCACCAGGCCCGGCTAATTTTTGTATTTATTTATTTATTTATTTATTTTTTGAGATGGAGTCTCGCTCTGTCGCCCAGGCTGGAGTGCAGTGGTGCGATCTCAGTTCACTGCAAGCTCCTCCTCCCGGATTTACACCATTCTCCTGCCTCAGCCTCCCAAGTAGCTGGGACTACAGGTGCCCGCCACCTCGCCCGGCTAGTTTTTTTGTATTTTTTAGTAGAGACAGGGTTTCACCGTGTTAGCCAGGATGGTCTCGATCTCCTGACCTCGTGATCTGCCCATCTCGGCCTCCCAAAGTGCTGGGATTACAGGCTTGAGCCACCGCGCCCGGCCAATTTTTGTATTTATTGTAGAGACAGGGTTCTGCCATGTTGGCCAGGCTGGTCTTGAACTCCTGATTTCAAGTGATCCACCCACCTCGACTTCCCAAAGTGCTGGGATTACAGGCTCAGCCACTGTGCCGGCCACTTTTGAGGTATTTTGCAAGCACCAATTGTATCATCAAACCGGTTTCTATTCCTTTAACTTAAAAACAAAACAAAAAAAGGCATAATTCATGCTTTTTACAGAAAACTTGGAAAATAGGAAAACAGAAGCCCTCCTCTCAGCCCTGGCCTCCTCCATCTGCATCCCCTTCCCTCCCAGGCCCCCAGGCCTCCTCATTACTTTGCAGGGGTACTTCCGCGGCGCTGCGCCCTGGCCCTGCTCATTGGCGTCTCTGAAAGGAGTGGCTGCAGTCCGGCTTTCCAGATAAGCAACGCTCTAGGCCGTTTCCCAGATTGGAGCACTGTAGGTTTTAAGAACTAAAACTTTAAAATATCAGTCATGTTAAAGGCAGTTTCTTTTCTTTTCTTTCCTTTTTTTTTTTGAGACGGAGTGGGGTCTCACACTGTTGCCCCGGCTGGTGTGCAACCTCCACCTCCCAGGTGCAATCTCAGCTCTGTGCAACCTCCACCTCCCAGGTTCAAGCCATTCTCCTGCCTCAGCCTCCCGACTAGTTGGGATTACAGGTGCCCGCCACCAGGCCTGGCTAATTTTTGTATTTTTAGTAGAGAGGGGGTTTCACTATGTTGGCCAGGTTGGTCTCGAACTCCTGACCTCACGTGATCTGCCTGCCTCGGCCTTTCAAAGTGCTGGGATTGTGTTTTGTTTTATTAAAAGCCCAATTAATTAATAAAAGAGGCCGGAATCAAATAAAGAAAGTGGTACCCTTTATTTGCAAATATGCACGTGCTCTCGGGCGAGGTTCTCCGGTCTGCAAGTAGGGAGGGCCAGGGAAGTCGCGGGCCAGAGAAGTCGCGGGCTGGAGAAGTCACGCTGGCACTTGCCGGCGACAGATTTTTATGCCTTGCGACCGGAAAGGGGAGGGCAGTGGGTGGGACGGGGGTGTCTTCATGGGCGTGGATGGGTAAGTTTTGATTTCTTCAGGTTGACGTCACTTGGCGCATGCTCAGTTGGTTTGCGCTTTTCTGGCGCAGGTAAATTGGTGGTGAAGAATCCGGAAGCAACAGGGACTATGCCATCTTGTTCATTTTTCCTCCATCTTGGCCCATTCCTTCACCCAAACAGTCCAACCTCTCATTGATTATAAGATTTTAGGGCGCAGTTTTCTCTCTGGCTGCTTCCTGCTGTTAAGGGGCATAGTTAGGGTCTGAGGTTGGCAGTTGGGTGTAAGGGTGTAGGAGCATTTGATTGAAGGAAACTCGAGTAATTTTCTTGGACCCTGGCTCGGAGAAATTTTATAAAAATGGGAGCAAAACATAAAATAATGCAGAGAATTAGTATGGGGATTAGGAAAGGAAGCATTTGTTGTACTATTGGCAGCAACCATACAGGGAGTCCGGGTACTAAAGGGCTATTAAATTGTTGGAGTTCTTTCTTGATTTTGTTTAATCTTTGAATGTTGGTGTCAACTAGGCCTGATTCATTTATGTAGTAGCAACATTCTTCTCCAAGGAAAAGGCATGTTCCTCCCTTTTCAGCAGTAAGATCATCTAATGCCCGCCTATTTCGTGCCGCTACCTGAGCCACTGAGGTGATCTGACGCTGTAAAGAGGCTGGGCTTCCAGCTGAAGCCCCTATGGCTGCCTGGAGCTGAGTGGGGAGGGTCTGTGTGGATGGAATCGAGTGGGCGAGGGCCCCTGTTCCAAGTCCTGAGGCTACTAGGGAGGATGCTAAGGAAACCCCGATAACTAATGGAAGAAAGATAGCCCGTTTTTGGATTTTTTGGTTAGGAATAGTGAGCTGAGAAGTTAGTTCGGACAGTTCTCCTTTACCATATAGGGTTAAACTGAGTACCAAGGACACTGGAACGCAAAGAGACTAGGTGAGGGAGGTATATTTAAGAGTTTTGGATAAGGTACGGTTACACCAGAAGTAGCCGCCAAGGGGAGCCGTCTGGGTTTTATTGGGAGCTTGGGTGTGATTGCACCATGAAGAATTTGGAGTGGAGTAACAGAAGGGAAGGGGTAGACTTTGTGGATTATGATATAAGGGGACTTGAGACAGGGGCGCTGATTGAAGTGAGCCGGTAGAGTCATTGGTAGTATTGAAAGCGGCTGGTAGGGGGACTGCCAAAAAGGGGGCTTTGCCGAGAGTAGCGCAGAGAAAGCATTGGGAAAGATTTTTCAGTCCGGCTGCCTGCGATAGATTAAGTCCTAGACGAATAAGGGCCAACCATGAGAATGGGTCTTTGTTGTTTGGGGGGTTTAACTGTTCCTGTAGTTTTTGTTCGCGTTGTTGTATGACTGTGGTTAGATTTTGTAGAGCCTGCACAGTTTTAGGGAATTGTATCTGTTGGACATACGTTCTAATTACCTGGATGGTTGCGGTTGGATATGAGGAACTGACTGTTGAATAAAGTCCGCCTTTTACCCCGCTGGCCCACCGGGAATCCCAAGGATCTTTGATGAGAAGTCTGTATTTTTTAGTATTTTCGTCCTGGGTAAATATGCTTGCTGTCATTTGTAGACCCCCACCTGTCCAACCTAATTGATGTATGTTGCAGTAAGAGTAGGGGCACCCAACATTAGCCTCTTGCCAGTAGTTCCGGCAGTTATAGTGGGTCTACTCATATAGGAAGCACAGGGCTGGGCGATAGCCTGGAGTGAGGGAACTTAGGGTGACGTTTAAGTAGATGGCCTGTTGGCAACCTGGCGGGGGGCAATCTGCAGTATCTTGCATGACTGAATGAACTTGGTTATTTGTGGTCCAAGTCTCAGTGACAGAGAATCTCCACACAAAGTTAGGAGTAATAAGAGGAGTTACTGGGATTATAGTTAACCATGATAATATTAACAAAGGTGCAGAAAGTACGCTCATTATGGCTAAAGTCACAGAGGGTACCTTGCCAAGCTTGGTCTTCTAACTGATTAGGTGAGGAGTCTGGGAGAAGAGTGGCTAAGGGTTCTATGAAGACGAAGTCAGTAATTGTCTTAAAAGAGAAAGGTATGGCAGGTAGGGTGCTAATGGTGTGGGTAGAGTAGGGGGTTCTTGCGGCATGAGAGGGCGCCCGTATACCAGTTCAAAAGGACTAAGGCCCGTGGGGCTTCTTTTTTTTTTTTTTTTGAGACAGAGTCTCACTTAGTCACCCAGGCTGGAGTGCAGTGGCGTGATCTCGGCTCACTGCAAGCTCCGCCTCCCGGGTTCACACCATTCTCCTGCCTCAGCCTCCCGAGTAGCTGGGACTACAGGCGCCCGCCGCCTCGCCCGGCTAATTTTTTGCATTTTTAGTAGAGACGGGGTTTCACCGTGTTAGCCAGGATGGTCTCGATCTCCTGACCTCGTGATCCACCCGCCTTGGCCTCCCAAAGTGCTGGGATTACAGGCGTGAGCCACCGCGCCCGGCCAGGCCCGTGGGGCTTCTAAGTGCTGCTGGTAGTCTGGTAAGGGGAAGGGGTAGTAGGGTTACCCACGATTGATGTGCCTCTGTGGAGGTTCTGGTTAGTTGTTGCTTGATGAGTCCAGGTAATGTTGAGAGAATCTGCAACCAGGGGCACAAGGGCATCATGAAAACAATGTTAGAGCCCGGGTGGCGATGAGAGGGTAGGTTAATGGATGCCCTAAGTTTGGTTAAGATGTTTCGTTCTAGAAGGGGGTGGGGCAAGCGGGCATGATGAGGGAAGAGTGGGCAAAAGTGGGGCAAGAGGGCATGATGAGGAAAGAGTGGGCAAAACATGCATAGTCCAGGCAGCAATTTAACATCGGGGTCTGGCGAGGGTTAGACGGTTTACCGTTTACCCTAACTACTGAAATAGTGGAGCGTTGGCTAGGTCCTCCATAGGACGGCAAAACAGAGTATTGATGAGAAAAGAAATGGGCTTACCCGCTACCTGTAGCGTTACCCTGGGCTGGGGTGACCGGGGTCTCCGAGTGTGGGCACCGTCAGTCCTCGTCAAGGTGTAGGAGTTGGAAGGAGCCTTCCCATCTTTGAGGAGAGGCACTACGTTGAGGCGCGGTGCCTGTCCTGATGGCGGGGCAATCAGACTTCCAATGCCTCTCCTGCTGGCAAGCTGGACATGGCGTGGAAGGCGGGCAGGGATATGGGCACTTATTAGCCCAATGCTCAGTCATAGGAGACTTGTCTTTTATCTTTTCTGCCGGCAGAGTGGGCAACGCTGGTTGGAGGGCAGCCACCAAAGCCTGTACCCAAACAGATTGCAGGCGTGAGCCACCGCGCCCGGCTCCTTTTCTTCCTTTCCATGTAATAGCTTGATTGAGAAATAATTCACATATCAAATTCACCCTTTTAAAAAGCGAGCAACGCGGGGCGCGGAGGCCACGCCTGTGATCGCAGCGCTCTGGGAGGCGGCAGTTCCAGGCGGGCGGATCATTGGGCCGGGAGTTTGAGACCACCTGGGCAACGTAAACTCCGCCTCTATAGAAACAATTTAAAAAAAAGAAACAAGGAGCGCGCGGCCCGCGGGGGCAGCGCCTTTACCAGCCCGAGCCTGCAGCCCCCCAGGCCGCGCCGTCTTCGGCCCCCCCGGGCAGCGCCGGGGTTTTGTCAGGCGCGCGCTGCTGTTTGCCTGGACTGCGCTCCCTCTGACCCTGAAGCCAGCGGCCCCACCGACACGACCTAAAAAGTGAGGGCCACACGCGGGATCCGGAGACCACTCCAGAGTCCCACGGGCGACGACTCCCCCCGGCGGGTCCACAGCCGCACGTCGGCGCATGCGCGCGGCCAAGCCGCTGCCCGCGCCCACCAGCGCGCATGCGCGCCCCGCGCCGTACCTCCCCGTGCTCTGCCCTGTTGGTTCGTCCGCGCCGGGGGCGGGGCCTGGGCGCCCGCGGGAAATTTGGCGGGAACCGCGCCCGCCCCTTCCTCCCTTTCTTCTTCCTTCCTTGCTTTCGCCGCGCACTCCGCCGCCATGGAGCAGCGCCGCGTCACCGACTTCTTTGCGCGCCGCCGCCCCGGGCCCGGCATCGTGCTGCCCAAGCTGGCCTGCCGCACCCCCAGCCCCGCCAGACCCGCACTCCGCGCCCCGGACTCCGCCACCAGCGGCAGCCGCAAGCGCGCCCGCCCGCCCGCCGCCCCCGGACGCGACCAGGCCAGGCCGCCGGCCCGCCGGAGGCTGCGGCTGTCGGCGGACGCGGTAAGGGACGTGGGGAGACTGAACCCGGGGGGTTGGGGGCGGGGAAACTGAGGCCCGGGAAGCGGGGCTCGGAGAGACTGAGGCCGGGGCTCGGGGGCGGGGAAACTGAGGCCCAGGGGCGGACCTCGGGGAGACTGAGGCCGGGGAGTTGGGGGCGGGGAGACTGAGGCCCGGGGGGCAGGGCTCGGGGAAACAGACCGAGGGACGGGGGTGGGGAAACTGAGGCAGGAGGGGACGGGGCGGGGAGGCAGCGCGGGGCGCGGGGAATTTGAGGCCGGGGGGCAGGGCGCAGGGAACTCTGGGACAGGTCGGGGGACCCTGTGGCCGCCCTGACACCACTGGGGACTTGGCTGGCTTCTGAGATGAGCAGGAGGCACTGCGGGGCTTGCGCCGGGATCTGATGATGATGATAGGGCTGGAAGGGGGGTCCGCCCTGGAAACTGTCCGGGAAGGCGAGAGCAAGGCTGTGTCCCCAGCCAGCTTTAGCGCAGACCACCGCCTGCGGGAAGCCCTAAGCCCCCGAGCCATGCCCATCTGTTATCTCAGAGGGGCTTCTGATCCTTCAGGGTCTTCTGCAGAGCCAGGAGCACCAGGTCTTGTCATGGGTTCACCCTTGGGGTCCCTCTCACCAGGTTTCCAGCCCCAGTTCCCCCGAGACCCCTGACTCCTCCGAGGCCCCTGACTCCCTCGAGGCCCCAGACATCCCAGCCTGCCCTTCTCTGGGCCAGAAGATAAAGAAATCCATCCCGGCAGCAAATCAGCCACCCCAGCTGACGTCCTCGCAGAACCAGGTGAGGGGCGGGGCCTGGGGCAGATTCGGGAGGGCTGAGTGGTGCCGGCCTGACTGCCTGGCCTGACTGCCTGACGGCACCACGTCCCCTGATCCCCTTGAAGGACACCATCTCTGAGCTTGCGTCATGCCTCCAACGGGCCCGGGAGCTGGGGGCAAGAGTCCGAGTGCTGAAGTCCAGTGCCCAGGATGCTGGGGAGTCCTTTACCCCAGAGGCCAAGGGCCGCCCTGAGGAGCCATGGTGAGTGCTGGCTGGGTGGCCAGGAGGCCTTGGGAAAGGCTGGCTGGTGGGAGGCATGGCCGGGCGATCCTGGCAAAGGCCCAGGTCTGCTCCTTCCGAGGAGGGAGGTGGTGAGGTCACCAGGGCGTGGAGCCAGACCCCTGAGAAAAAGGTCCTGAGCACCGCTGGCCCTTTGCCCTCCTGTTGGGGGCAGCCCCTGCCTCCGGCGCTCTGGCAGGTTCCAAATGCTCCTAATGCTTTGGTGTGTTGCCTGCCCCTGCCCCTGAGAGCTAGCGAAACTGGGCTGGGGAGAGGGCACAGCTTCCCTGGGGGTGCCGCATGGACACAGCAGAGCTGGGGTGTGGAGCTGGGCTTTCCTATCACCAGTTCTACCCCTAACGGTGCCAGTGCTGGTGACTGTGCAAGGGCCGCGAAAGCCATCGTGTGTGGCGTGGCAGGCCCCATTGGAGGCTCCCTGGTCGAGGGGCCTGCTGTGGCACTGGAGGGGTGGGGGCCTGCTGCTTCTCACAAGGCTCCTCCCTCCCTGACAGTGGTGAGAAGGCGCCCGCCTACCAGCGCTTCCATGCCCTGGCCCAGCCTGGCCCACCGGGGCTCGTGCTGCCCTACAAGTACCAGGTGCTGGCGGAGATGTTCCGCAGCATGGACACCATTGTGGGCATGCTCCACAACCGCTCTGAGACGCCCACCTTTGCCAAGGTCCAGCGGGGCGTGCAGGACATGATGCGCAGGTGACTGGCCGCGGGTGGGCTGGGGCTGCCCTGGAGTTGGGGGTGGGCCCGGGCCTGCCGCCTCCTGAGCCGGCCCCCTCCTCCTGTAGGCGTTTTGAGGAGCGTAATGTTGGCCAGATCAAAACCGTGTACCCGGCCTCCTACTGCTTCCGCCAGGAGCGCGGTGTCCCCACCTTCAAGGATGGTGTTAAGAGGTCAGATTACCAGCTCACCATCGAGCCACTGCTGGAGCAGGGTAGGTGCTGGGTGCAAGACCTTGGTTTCCCCATCTGTGACCCACACACTTTCTGGGGTGGGTGTGAGGTGCTGGGCGGCCTGGCCTGGACTCAGGCCTGGACTCGTCCCACAGAGGCTGATGGAGCAGCCCCTCAGCTCACGGCCTCGCGCCTCCTGCAGCGACGGCAGATCTTCAGCCAGAAGCTGGTGGAGCACGTCAAGGAGCACCACAAGGTGAGCGGCCCCCGGCCCTGCTGTGCAAAGATGGTGGCACCAGCACTGCCTCAGCACGTAACCCTGTGCTTGGAGCATCCCTGCCACCCACGGCTTCTCCCGGGATGGAACCGGGCTGGGTTCACCCTGAGCTGAGGGCTGGTGTGCTCAGGGTGCAGCTGTAGGCACTGAGGAGGTCCCCAAGGCATTCAGCGAGTACGGGCCGTGGGAGGCCGTGTGCTCTCCCTCCAAGCTGAACACTGGGCAGAGGCTAAGTGACTTGCCCAAGGTGGCCCGGCTGGGATGGGGACGTAAGCCTAGACAGCCCCACCTCACATGCAGCCTGCCCTTGTTTCAGATGTGCCCAGTGTCACCCATCTGCTCCTTCTCCCCAGGCCTTCCTGGCCTCCCTGAGGCCCCCCATGGTGGTGCCGGAGGACCAGCTGACCCGCTGGCACCCACGCTTCAACGTGGATGAAGTGCCCGACATCGAGCCAGCTGTGCTGCCCCAGCCACCCGCCACGGAGAAACTCACCACTGCTCAGGAGGTGCTGGCCCGGGCCCGCAGCCTGATGTCACCCAGGGTGAGGCTGCGAGGCTTGGGCAGCCCCTTTCTCCCGGGTGGGTGGGCCAGCCTGACCCCGGGCATAAGAGGCGGGGCCTTGGCGATGAGCTTGATGCCTCATCTGGCTTCCTCCTTGGCTGGGAGGTCCAGAGAGTGGGCGGCATTTGCCCTCTGTCCTCAGCTGCAACCTCTAAGCCTGGCTCTGTCACTTGCCCCATGTGGGGAGTTGGCCCCGGGCAGGCGATGCCACACACTGGGACACTGCATTGACCAGCACAGACCACCCAGTGTGCCGGGCTAACTTGTGCCTTGAGAGATACCGGGGACTCCTGGGCAGAGAGCCAGGGGCATGTTGCCTCCTGTGACCTCTCCGCCCCAACTTGTCCCTCCCGCAGATGGAGAAGGCCTTGAGTCAATTGGCCCTGCGCTCTGCTGAGCCCAGCAGCCCCGGGCCCCCCAGGCCAGCACTGCCGGATACCCCACCAGCCACCCCGCCTGCAGCCTCTCCCAGCGCTCTGAAGGGGGTGTCCCAGGATCTGCTGGAGCGGGTGAGTCATCCCCAGTGATGGCGGGTGGGGGCCTGGTGATCTGCTGCCCACTAACCAGGTCCCCACACCTGCTGCAGGTCCGAGCCAAGGAGGCACAGAAGCAGCTGGCACAGATGACACGGTGCCCGGAGCAAGAGCAGCGGCTGCAGCGCCTAGAACGGCTGCCTGAGCTGGCCCGCGTGCTGCGGAGCGTCTTTGTGTCCGAACGCAAGCCTGCGCTCAGCATGGAGGTGGCCTGTGCCAGGATGGTGGGCAGCTGTCGCACTGCCATGAGCCCCGGTACGTGCATGGCGGGGTGAGGGGGCGTGCACAGTGGAATTGCCCAGTGCTGCAGCCGCCTCCCCAGGTTTCTGACCAGGGGTGTCTATCACTGATTTGTTCCGTTCAGATGTGCAGTTGGGCACTGGCCGCTTGCACTGGTGTGTGCTGGGTGCTTTGCCCTCCTTTGAGCCACCCCTGAGCCTCCACCCAGCCCTTCCACACCTGCAGCCTCTGGAGGCAGCTTCCCTCTCACAGCCCTGGCCTGTTTCCCTGACCGCCTGCAGTGCTTGGTCAGAAGGGGCCCCACATGCACCCTACACGGCCTCCCAGGCCTCTGGTCACCACACCCTGAGCACGTGGGGGTCCCCACACTACAGGGCACCCCCTGCCTCAGGGTTTTCATGGGCTGGTGGCCCCCATGCTTGGTGCCTCCTCACATGGCCTCAACTGTAGGCCTGGCTCTCTCCGCTCACTGTTATGCCTCCCAGATTCGGGCCTCTGATCAGAACCACCTCTGCCTTAAGGTCCGGGGATGGGGCACTGAGGGCGACCAGGCGGGCACAGAGGTTGGGTGGTCAGGCTGGTCTCAAGTGCTGCCTGTGTGGGGCTGGGGCCCAGCACCAGCCTGTGTCCCCTTCTCCTCCCACAGGGGAGATGGAGAAACACCTGCTGCTCCTCTCCGAGCTCCTGCCAGACTGGCTCAGCCTTCACCACATTCGCACCGACACCTACGTCAAGCTGGACAAGGCCGCGGACCTGGCCAGCATCACTGCACGCCTGGCCCGCCAGGCCCACGCTGAAGAGGGGCTGTGAGCTTGGGGGCCACTGGACAGATGGGGGCTTCAGGCTCACTGGCCTGGGGCTGCCAGCATTTTCTTTTATGAACATGATGCACTTTACTTTTCCTTTCCGGAGTGCCCCTGAGGGCCAGAGGCAGAGCTGGGCTGCAGGCTGCACAGCCCGAGGGTCTTTGGCTGCAGGTGGTGGCCCCTGCATGGGGCTCACCTGGTGGATTCACATTAAACCGGTTTCTGTGGGCACCTCTGTCCTTGCTGCTGGTGGGGAGGGGAAGCCAGATCCCAGCACCCCCTAGGGGGCCATCAGGGCAGGGGAATGTGGCTGAGGGTGAAGGGGGCTTTGGCAACATGGGGTTGGGTAGTGTGGGTGGCAGGAGGCCATCCCCTCTAATCTTGGAACCTCTGAATATGGGACGTTCCACAGCAAAGGGTGACTTTTGTCATTAAGAACTTCAAGATTGCCGCAGGGGCCTTCACAAGAGGGCCAGAGCCAGCCACCTTTGAAGACGCGGCCCTGCCCCGACACAGGCAGCCTGGAGAAGCTGGGCAGGACATCCCTGGAGCCTCCAGAAGGGACTGGCCTGCCCACACACTGACTTCAGTACTATAATAAAGTCGTGCTTACAGCCACTAGATCTGCAGTAGAACCCTTTCAGTAGCACTGGCCGCCTCAGGGTGGGACCTGCATTGACAGACTTAGTTACCCCTGAGCCCTCACGTGCTTCCCTAGAAGATGGGTCCACACGGCCTCTTTCTGCAGTGCCTGGATGGTTCCGGCTCCTGAGGTGAGAACCAGGCCAGACTGCTGGGCATCATGCCGAGCAGCACGTGCCCATAGTCCAGTTGGTTTGGTGGTGTCCTGGGGCTCCCTGCCCTGGGGAACAGGATGACAGGAGACGGCTCTCGTGGCAAAGCTGTTTACTGCGTTCTCCCTATGTGTAATTGGGCCCAGGGTGGCTGAAGCACAGCTTTGCCCCAGGCTTTGGCACTTCCAGCCCCAGGAGAGGTGCTGAACCCAAGCAAGGGATGTGTTCCCTGCAGGCAGCTGGTGCCCCTGGTAACTGCAGAGGTCACTGCAGTTGCCCAGGGCTGAAATGTCCCTGGGTTCCAGCTGCAGAATGTTGGGCTGGGAGGCCCTGTAGTCACTCATACTGCAGGAGAGAGAAGAAGGGTACAGGAGCCAGCTTCTCCCTGCCCTTAAGCGAGGTCAGCTCCACCAGGCTCACACACTCTAGGACCTCGGCCTGCAGGCGGCCCAGGAGCTCACAGGCGGCATGCATGGTTCCTGGGGATGGGAGGGTGAGGTCCCCAGTTGGCCTGGGCTGTAGAGACTGGGTGCTCCAGGCCAGCCCCTGGGTTGGGGAGGGGAGAGTATGGGGAGAGAGGAAGGTGTCGGCCTGGCCACCAGGCAATAGTAAGCTGGACAATAGTAAGCTGCATCCCACGCCACGCACAGCGAGGTCCTGCCCTACTCCCACCAGGCCCTTGGAGCCACAGCAGTTGGCTGTGGGGAGACCCTCACCACCAGTGGCCAGCAGATCATCCACGACGACCACCCTCTGTCCTGGCTCCAGGGCATCTTTCTGGATCTCCAGCTCAGCCTGGAGTGGGAAGTGGTGTGTCGTCCTCAGCCTCCCGCAGAAAACAGCTTTGTGTGCAGAGCTTGGCAGCTGCCACCCTAGGCCCTGACGCCAACCCCACCTTGCTGTTCCCTGGCTGTGTGAGCCCAGCCTGTGTCTCACCCTCTCTGAGCTCCCAAGAGCACTGTTAACCACAGCAGCTCCACTTGACACACCTGGGAGGGCCTTTAGAACTGGCGGAGAGTGGCCACGGTGGCCTGGCCCTTCCCTTCCTCTGGCCACCCCAGCCCCCTTACCTTCCCGTACTCCAGGGCATAGGAGGCCCACACAGTGGGGCCTGGCAGCTTCCCCCGCTTTCGGATGAGCACACAGCCCAGTCCAAGCTCCTGGGCCAGGGAGGGGCCAAAGAGGAAGCCTCGGGAGTCTAGGCCTGTCAGGGTGAGTGACAGGAGTGACTTGGCAGCATGGGAGTCCCCAGGGGCCAGGGTTGGCCGGTGGCAAGGGGTACATGGTTGGCTCCCAGCTGAAAGGCCAGTGACGTGCACCATTTAAGGAGTGTCACCTGTCACCTACCAGGAGCTGCTTCCAGGTCAGAGTGCAGACCTGGGTCTGTCTTTTAAGGGGCCACTTTTTAGCTGTGGTCCTGGGGGAGTCACCGCCCCTCTCCCCCAGCTCAGCAGCCCATCTTTAACGGGGCTGGTAGAAACCTGTCAGGCCTCAACTCTCTCTCAAAGGCAGCTCTGCCCCAGGGCTTCTGTCTAAAAACAGAGTCTCTGGAGGTGACCTGAGCTGTGATGGTTGGGGGACGCTCAGGGAAACCCTGCCCCAGCCTGGCAGGAGGTCAGGGAGGGCTTCCTGCAGGAGGTGAGAAGGGGGCTCTGGCAGTGCTGGCGCTTCCCTCAGGGCAGTGTGCAGGGAGTGGGCTGTCACGCCCTAGGAGAGGCAAGACCACCAGAACACTGTGTTCTCCCTGGGCCTCCTCTCGGGCTCTCCCGGAGACCTCCAGGCCCCCCTTGCTTGGGTGGGCATTCCGTGATCTTCACCAGGGAATGCCTGGCTCGTGGCAGGCGCTCAATACCAGCTCGCAGAAGGAACAAGAAGCGAGGCAGCTGGGCCCCGTGGATTCAGCTTGGGCACTCCAGGGAGACCAACTGACCTGGCGACTCGGTCACGCCCGTCCTGGGCTGGGGACCCGGAACCTGCGGGCAGGGCGCCTGCACAGCGCGGCGGCCTCGGGGGCCCAACCTCACAACCCTTAGGGGGCGAACCCAAGCACCGTGCCCGTCCCGGCGCCCCCGAAGGACCCCAAAAGCCCTCCCCCAAACAGACGTGCAGAGCCCACGTGCTACCCTCGGCGCGCGCGGAGGCAGAGGCGCCCTGGATGCGGCCACGCGGCACTTGCCTGCGATGTAGTCGATGCGGCCCCCGTGGGTCGCCTTCAGGTGTCGCGCCAGGAGGCCGATGGCGGCGCGGAAGGAGGCGGGGTCCTTCAGGACGGGCGAGATGTCCCTGGACCCAAGGACAGGCCTGGTGACGCCGGGGCCGAAGGAGGGCAGCGGCCCCGGGTTCCCGCCCTGCCCGCCCCGCTTGCCGGACAGTGCCGAGGTCGCGGGCAACACTCTCCCATCCGCAGGCCCGCAGGTCGGGACGCCACGAGGGCGGCCTGCGCTTGCACCTGAATAACACGCCCGGGGTGGGGAAGTCGGGGAAGCTGCGGATCCGCCGCTCAACCAGCTGCAGCTCGTGGTCCGCCATGACCGCGTGCGAGGAGCCAGCGGCGGGCCGAGCGCGCCTGCGCGGAGACTGGCTGGGCCGCCACGAAGGGCGGGGCATCCCCGGGGCGCGGATGCGCGGGTGAGGGCGGGGCTTCCGCGGGAAGGGGCGTCCCTCGCCGGAAGCACGTACTGTATTTCATGGACTCCTAGGCGCCATCGATTTTAAGACGCGCTCGCATTCCACGCACCACTGAGCAGAACGTTCGAACCGGACAAAGGTGCGAGTCAAGGCGCCCTTTCTTTTCTCGGGCCGCGCCTCTGCAGCCAGGCAGCTGTGGGCCGGGGCCCTGGCGGCTGGAGGAGGGGCGTGAGCTGGTCTCGTCCACGCACCTGGCGCGCGTACGGGCCTCGCCCTTTCTCCGCTATTGGCTGAGATCCCCAGGCTGCGCGCGGGAGGCTGGCGCGCGGGGTGGAGGAGGGCGTGAGGAAGGAGTCCAAGTAGCAGGAGGGCGGTGCAGGGCCCGGAGGGAGCAGCCCAGGGCGAAGGCGGCGGGCTTGGGCTGGACCGGCCGGGGGCGCTGGCCTCTCGCGGATGGATGGGCCCTGCCGTTGAGGTGGCTCTTCCCCGCCTGGACCTGGGGGAGAGTGGCCGGAAGGCGTGGCCAGGCCAGGGGGCGCATCCGCGATGGCAGAGGCCAGGTGACTCCTCCGCCTTGGGGTGGGGAGCTGTGAACCCCCTGGCCGCCAGAGGACTGGTACCCAGGTTGCGTGAGGCACAACTCCCTCCAAACACAATTTCCTTTCAAAAAAATCCCCAGAGCTAAAATGCCTTGTGCTCTGTTCCAAAACTTTTCTTCGTTTCGCAGCCTTTTTTTTTGAGACGGAGTCTCGCTCTGTCACCCAGGCTGGAGTGCAGTGGCGCGATCTCGGCTCACTGCAAGCTCCGCCTCCCGGGTTCACGCCATTTTCCTGCCTCAGCCTCCCGAGTAGCTGGGACTACAGGCGCCCGCCACCATGCCCGGCTAGTTTTTTTTTGTATTTTTTACTAGAGACAGGGTTTCACCGTGTTAGCCAGGATGGTCCGGATCTCCTGACCTCGTGATTCGCCCGCCTCGGACTCCCAAAGTGCTGGGATTACAGGCGTGAGCCACCGCGCCCGGCCCATCATTTCGCAACTTTTACAATTCAGCTTTGGCCTGGCAGTTACTGCAGAAGGGAAAACCCACTCAGTGGAAGGCAGCCCCCAGGAGCCTTCAGAGGGGGGAGGCCGGAGGCTGCGTGTGGCTGCTGGGGCCCCGTTCCAGGGCGGGTGGGGGACCTATCGTCTGATTCCGAGGGGCATGGCAGCGACTGCCTCGAAGTGTGCCATGGTCAGGGCTGGCAAGGCCTGGGGCCTGGGCTCCAGGCCTCTCGGGAAGGTGCAAATGGAGGACCCTGATATCTTCACATCCCCGCAGAAGCTGCCACATGAGGCGGGCCCACGGGCCAAGTGTGTGAGCTGCACTTAAGCCGTCCACATCCAGCCCAGGAGGCCTCGGCCTTCCCCTCCTTGTTCCTGACTGTCTCCCAGATGGCCCGAGGGGGGCCTGGGACTGGGGGGTACTGGAGGAGGGATCTGGGGAGGGTTCAACACGGAATTGGCCCTGTCACCTCCTTCAACCCCGGGCTGTTGGGCTGGTGTAGGAACAGCAGGGAGCCCCGAGTCCTGCCCTTTGGCAAGGAATGCAGCGCTGGGCTCTGGAGAAGGTGGGAGGCGGCCGGAGCTGGGCACCTGATTCTTGGCAGCTGCTGGGAAGGTATAAAAGGAAAATAAATCTCGGGACCCCAAAATCACTAAGCCGAGAAAAGCCAAGCTGGGAATTAGGCAAACCTGCCTCCTGTTTTATTTCTAAGTAATGTAGCTACAATGATAAAGACTACATACCTCTCTCCTAATTAGCGCCCAAGGAAATTCCTTGTGGACAAAGGACAGACGGAACTGGAAGTCACCCCTCTGGGGCTCCTGAGACAAATGCTCATCAGATTGTTCCCCTCCCTTATTGTTAACATAAAAATGCGGATTCACTGGGCCAGACTGAATCACGTATTCAGTGGAAGGCTGGCCGAACCAATGTATGTCTTACACATACTATCTTATGTCTCCCTAAGATATAAAGGCAAACTGTACCCCCAGCCACCTCGGGCACGTGTTTTCAGGACCTCCTGAGGCTGTCACGGGCGCATCCTTAACTTTGGCAAAATAAACTTTCTAAATTGACCGAGACCTGTCTTAGATATTTGGGGTTCCCAAAGGCGTGAGACGGCAGTGTCCTGAGATCTGAGGCCCCGTGGGCGAGGAGGAGGGCCGAGCACACTCCAGGGTCAGGTCCTGGGCAGGTGGAGTCATGCAGTCCCCCTGTGTCTGCAGGTGCCGTCTGTCTGGCCTGGGCAGGGTCGGGGGAGCACTGAGGCCAGAGCCGTCCTCCCCCCAGGCACTTGCAGAGCCAACCGGAGATTCCAGGCCTGGCCTGGGTCCACGCAGGTGCTAGTGGGACCAGAGGCACTTCTCGGGAATGGATTCTGGAGGTGTCAGACACTTCCCTAACTTTTCACAGCCCGGGGGTGCCCAGTTCTGGGAAATGAAAATTGAGAAAACACAGTTATTCCAAGCTCGCGTGGGCCCAGCAGCAGCACTTTGTTGTTCTGTTTGGAGACAGTCTCGCTCTGTCACCCAGGCTGGAGTTCAGTGGCGCGATCTCGGCTCACTGTAACCTCTGCCTTCCGGGTTCAAGCGATTCTCCTGCTTCAGCCTCCCGAATAGCTGCTGGGCTTACAGGCACGGCTATACTCCACGCCTGGCTAATTTTTGTATTTTTAGTAGAGACAGGGTTTCACCATCTTGACCAGGCTGGTCTTGAACTCCTGACCTCGTGATCCACCCGCCTTGGCCTCCCAAGGTGCTGGGATTACAGGTGTGAGCCCCCACGCTCAGCCATTTCTTTAATAGAAACAAGGGTTCCCCATGTTGGCCAGGCTGGTCTCAAACTTCTGACCTCAGGTGATCCGCCTGCCTTGGCCTCCCAAAGTGCTGGGATTACAGGCGTGAGCCACCACGCTTGGCCTTGAGCAGTTTGATGTGTCCCCTGCCCAGTCCAATCCCCGACTCCCATCTAATTGGCCTCAGTGTGGAGGCCACCTCAGTCCACGCGGGCAGCTACACAGACGCCTCCCCAGGAATCATGGGAACTCGGGAGACGGCGCCCTCCCGACTCAGCCTCTCAGCTCTGAGGAGGCTGCTGTTGGAGGAGTGAGAACTTGGCAGGGAAGTCCCGAGTGTGGGGGATGCAGCTGCCAAGTGGCTGAGGGCCTCTGTGTGGCCAGCAGTGTTCGAAAGGCCCACCCTGAGCCTCTCATCACCCTCTCCTGCAGCTTCAGCCTCTCAAGAAGCCTTTCCCAGGGAGGAGCCGGTCCCTACCGCGCTGCTGGGCTCAGTTCAGTGTGGCACTGAGCGGAGCCCGCACCCCTCCATCGCCTGGGTGTGTGTGGACCTCACAGCGCAGCCTCACTTAGTGGAAGCCTTGCTTGGTGGGAGGGCACTTTTCCTGGCAACAGAAAGGGAGACTTATGCCCCTAAGAGGAGCCTTCTTGGCTGAAGTGAGTGCAGTTTGGTTCCGTGTCCCCATCCAGGCCACCTCTGTGCCACGTCAGATGCCGCATGGCCCTGAGGGCACCTTCCCGTCGGGACAGACTTTGAATTGTGGGTGCTGCTCAATCGGACAGAGGACTAAGGACACTCTCAGCCCTGGGCGGCAGCAGGCGTGAGTGTCACTGAGTGGCCACATGAGTGTCCCTGCCCCCTTTGCCACCAGAGCAGGGGTGGGTTTGGCTGAGGAGGTTGCTCCCAAACTCCAGGGGCAGCAGAGGCAGCCGCAGGGTGTGTGTGAGTCTGCGTTTCTCAAAGGCTGCTCAGCTGTCCCAGGAGCAGGGGTCCAGGTGGCCAGACTCCCTCTCCTCTGTGTCAGAGACACCACTGAGCCCCTCGGCTGGGGCTGGCCTGCAGTTGGTGGGGACAGAGGGCAGGGAAGGGGTGAGGAGGGCAAGTGGCCCCCAGGCTTCACACGCCTGCCTGTGTATCTCCTCCGTGGCTCTGCTCGCGGTGGCGTCTGGGCCCCTCAGACCCCAGTGGCTCACCTCGCCAGGTCTGAGTTGGCACCACTTTCCTCCTGCAGAGGGCACAGGTGTGGCGGTGGGGGCAGTTCCCCCAGTGCCCAGGAGATAGCAGCGGCAGCCAGGCTGTGTGCGCCCCCCTCCCCTGCCCTGGGCCCCCTGTCTCCATGGCTGGTGTGGCCTGCACCCGTGGAGCCACTGCAGCCTGGGTCGCAGAGCAGGACCCAGCAGCACGGACTGGGATTGGGTGTGGACGGCAGAAGCCCAGGGATCCTCCATGGCTGGTGGCCCTGGGCTGCTGGGGCCCGAGACTCAGGGGTCCTGAGACAGGGACCTCCCTGCTCCACTGCTGAGTCCAGAGGCAGGGATGCCAATTGCCCAGGTCCCTTTGAAGGAAGGGCCCTGAATATCTTCCTATAAAACTTGCCAGGCACCCCCGCCAGCCCCCCAACTAACGGAGGTGGCCCTGCCCCGCCCAGTCCTAAATGACCCCTGCAGGGTGGACCCTCCCTGGGCAGGGACAAGGCCATCTGCCCTCCATGGTCCTCATTGCTGGGAGGTGCTGCTGATGTCCGGCGCTCTCCTGTTCCACCTGCCGGCCCACGCTGTGGCTCCCTGGCTGTGCAGAGCCACCACCTTCCTTCCCACGGCACGGCGGGCACCCAGCGGTTCCCACGCTGCAGCCAGGTCCTTTCGCCCACACAGCAGGAGCCCAGGCTGAAGTCTGCAGCTGCCCCGGGGTCCCGAGCTCCTGCGGTTTCACTCGGCGGATCCAGGGGCTGTGGGCAGCCACGCTCAGCCCACATAAACAGGTAAGTGATGGCTCAGGGGCCTGGAGGCTGGGTTTGGCCATCTCCACTGTGCTCTGTGGGCTCTGGGCACCCAGGAGTGACACTGCAGACCTGTGTGTGGCCCATTTTTGCTGACTGGAGTGCAGGCTGCACATGTCCCATCTGAAGGAGCCGCGAAGGCCTTCCCTGCTGGGACCCACATCACTGTGCTGGGAAAAAGGCCTTTGTGGCCACTGCACACTCAGGATGACTGGGCCATCCACACCCCACCCTAGCGGACCCCCAAGCAGGGGACAGAAAAGCTGCTCCTAAGTGGCCCTGACTGCGGCCCCCAGGTCTGGACAAGGAGACGCATCCTTTGTGCCTTGAACACAGACTTCAGTGAAACTTTGGAGGCACATCTATGCTTGTGTTTCTGGCCGATGCTGGTGTGATTAGGCCGTTTCTCCACTGGAGGTGAACATGGCCTGGTCTCATCAGGCTGCAAGGAGATGCTGCTCTGGGTGACTGAGTGGGATCAGGTCTGACACGAAGGTCCCTGGGGCTGGCCCAGCATGAAGGAGGCACCATGGGAACCTTGCAGGTGGGCCCTGGGGCCGCTGCCACTCACAGTGCAGCACCAGTCCACCCGAGACCCAGCGGGCAGTGCCGTTCCTGCCTCAGTGCCTGCAGAGCCTGGGGATTCAGGTGCCATCACAGGGCCCCTCCAAAGAGAAGCTGCCCGTGTGGGAGTCGAGGACCAGGGGACCCCGGCCCCTCTCATGCTCCCTGCTGTCCCCCAGTGACCACCTGTGGGGGGCAGGAGAGGGGTCTTGGAGCTCCCCAGTCTCAGCTCAGCCAGGCAGAGGCCCGGGTGGCCGGCTCTGGACCTGCGGCTGCCCTGGCACAGTGTTGTTCTGGTCCCTGAGTCGCTCGGCTCCAGCTCCCTGAATCCTGGACACCACCACGTGTGCTCTGAGGCACCAGGGCCTTACCACTGATGGAGGCAGGGAAGAGCCCCTACCGGCCGGGCGCGGTGCTCGCACGCCTTGTAATCCCAGCACTTGGAGGCCGAGAACGGCGGACACGAGGGTCAGGAGATCGAACCATCCTGGCTAACACGGTACAAAACCCCCGTCTACTAAAAAAATACAAAAACGCGTGCGAGGTGGCGAGCGGCCTGTAGTCCAGCTACTCGGAGGTGAGCAGGAGAATGGCGGGAACCCGGGAGGCGGAGACTTGCGGTGAGCCAAGGATCCGCCATGCACCTCAGGCCTGGGCGAAGGAAAGACTCCGTCTCAAAAAAAAGAGCCCCTACCCCCGCCTTGCGCTGGCCACGGTTCATCCTGGGGCCCCAGGTGGGTGGCTGCGGCCCCGGCACAGAGATGGCTGCCTGCATACCAGCCACTTACCATCACTGCCCAGTTGCACACGTTGAGCTGGGGCTGCCCGGGGACCAAGGCCTCCTGGTGCTGCTGGACGACCGAAGTGATCCTGCTGAGGGCCTCCTGGTACTCAGCGCTGGCAAAGCTGGGGACAAAGAGCTCTGGTCACATGGCTGTGGCTGCAGGGGTGCGCCTGGGGCCGGCAGTGAAGGACAGGCTGGGGCTGGCCTGGGAAGGCTGAGGCTTCAGGGGTCTAATGGGCCGAGAACCACAGTGGGCAGTCACTGTGGACCACGTGCTCAAGCCTACAGCGGCCCCAGGCCTCGCTAGGACAGGCAGCAGGCACCTGAGCCATCCTCTGCCCTCAGACTCACGGGCAACGGAAGAAATGGAGGCTCGGGAGGCCAAGCCCTGGCAGAGAGGCTGTGAGCAGAACCGTCCCGTCCTGTCCCCACTAGGGTGACCTGCCTGTGACCAGGACCTGGGACGTGTGGGCTGGGACTTGTGTGTGGGTCTCCCCAGTACTTGCTACTACGTAAACATTTACAAATACGACACAAACTTGTTTCATTACAAAAGCAATGTCATCCCATTGCCCAAAAAAAGCGGGAAATAGAGAGGAATAGCATCTGTGGTTCTAAAATTCCAATGCAAACACGTGGAGTGTTTGGATTCCTTTCGTTTTCACGAAGATACGATTACGCAACTCGAAGAGGTGCCGTGAGGGCCGCAGTTTGCGATGCTGTGAATCTAGGGTCCATGGCGCTGTCGTGCCGGGCTCTGAGGACATCTGCAGAGATGATGCTTTTTCACCATTTTCAATCACTTCTAATATCGCCAACATGCACCTGAACAGACACCTGCCCCCACTGTCATCGTGGAGATGCAGGGAGGAACTTCCACGAGTGTGAGGCTGAAGCTGGAGCTTGTCACTGCCCAGGCCGGGAGCCGCACTGCTGCTGGTGGGGACGCGGACTGGAGCAGCCACTGTAGAAGGCGGTGTGGCAGCTCCTCCCAAAGCTAGAGATGGGGTTACCAGGTAAGCCAGCTCCCCTCCTGATGGAGCTGGGAGGTGTGGGTGGACCTGGGCCTGGGGACACCGCTCTGTCCACTCCAGGCTCCGTGCTGCCTTCCCGTAGTCACCATCCTGGGCTTCTGAGCTGCACACTTGGTGGAGGAGAGGTGCTGCTGAGGAAGTGCCCAAATGGTCCCTGAGGCCATGGGAGGGGCTCCAGCCCGGGAACCTCAGCGCAGGCTCAGCCCCGTGGCAAGGTGGTTGCCCCATCCAGAGGGTGCAGGAGCCTCGAGCGACCTTGGCAGTGGTGCTGCCACCCTCGGTTCTGTACTGCTCTCTGCTGCCTCCCACTGGCCCTACACAAACCCAGGCCGATTGGTAAGCAGAGAACAGCCTGGGCAGAGAGCAACTGCTGTGCTCAGGCCTGGCTCTGCCTCTGCACAGCCACTCCCCTGACGCTCCTGGGTCTTCCCAGGACCAACCCAATAGGGCAGGAATGCTGGAGACCACTGGAAACGCATGTGCCCCAGAACCCCAGACCAGCAGCAGGAACTGGGGACCTGCTCATTCTGCTGGGGTGAGGTGGAGAAGCCTCCAGCCAGGCCTAGCCCAGGGAGACAGCTTTGGGCAAAAAAAAAAAGGAAGCCAGAGTGTTGGGCCTTCCTCCAGCCAAGTGTTGGGGCCTCTGTGTCACCCCTAAGGAGCTGCCAGAGGGCACGTGGGCTTGGTACTGGCGACCATGACCCTTGAGACTCCCAAAGGTAAGGGGAGGGCTTCCCTGAAAGCTGGCAGGCAATGGCACAGGCTCCGGCATCCTCGATGGGGTGAGGACAAGGCCCAGAGAGCAGAGGGTGGAGCTGGGGCTGGCGGCTTTCTGCCATTCCTCCTGCTAGCTGACCTGTGTCCTTGCACCTCCTGCTGGCCCCAGGGCCTGGACACCTCCCTTCTGGCCTCAGCCATCCCCAAAGGCAGTTCAGAGTCGGGGACAAATCACTGGGGGCCGGGTGGATGGTGGCCCAGAAGGCACAGAAGTGGGGAGACCACCAGGGTGGACAGGAGCAGGCACCCTGAGAGGAGGGCAGGCCACCAAGCATGTGTGGGCACGAACAGCAAGAGGAGACACAGGCACGGGGAGGCGGCGGGCAGGGTGCAGAGGAGCTCCGTCCCTGTGGAGCCTGCGTTTGGGGGAGTCCGGCTGGCACCGCCCCAGCAGTCAGGAGGCCCTGCACCGACTTACCTCAGGGGGAACCTCTCCCCCGGGTCCCGTCCCAGGTGGAAGATCAGGGGCAGCTTCGTGTGGTCTTCCAGGCTGTGAGTCGTGACCCCGGAAACGTTCTGCCCAGGGCAGAAATCAATGCCCTGCAATGAGAAGAGGAGGGAAGGTGTGTCCTGGAGCCCCTGACCGCGGCGTGAGGGGCCTCATCTGCCCGTGTCCTGGAGTCCCTAACTAGGGGCTGTGGGGGGCCTTGTCTGCCTGTGCCTAGCAGTGTCCCTGGTACTCAGCATGGTGCAGGGCACTGGCTGAACGCTGAAGGACTACTGGGCCTGTAAGCATCCTGTGGAGGAGGTGAAGCCACCCGCTCTGGACCCCCGAGATGCGTAGCTGGCATGCCTCACGTACCCCGTTTTCATGTACCCCTCTTCTTTGTGGGGCAGGTGAGTGTCCTTAAAACACCTTAGCCAGCCTCACATCTGGACAGCCACTAATTTCATGGAGGAAAGCCCCTTTTAACACCCCACTCTCTGCTGGGGATGAGAGGGAGGGCCTGCCCTGGGAGAAGGGAGAGCCACAATGCCCAGAATCCCTATAGAAACCCTGACACGGGGAAGAGCAGGACCAACACCTGAAAGGCGAGAGAAAACAGACAGAGCCAGGGGGTTGACGCAGACTCACACGCTCAAGAAGGGCGAGGATTTCACAGTAACCACAATTCTCTCTCTGCTGCCGCCCCCCGCCCCCACCCCCGGGCTCCCTGATTCGGGAAGGGGGAGGTATGCCTCTAATATTCCCAGAGAGGGTGCTGCAGGCCAAGTGGTTCATCTGAGGACTGTGCCAGGGGCTCCAGCAGCCAGGAGACTGGGCCACTGTGTGCAGGGATCCCTCAAGCCTTGAGCCAGGGTGGGCTGGGACAGGTGCAGCCAAGCTGCTTGCCTCTGGCACCAGTGACTGAGCAGCTCCCACGGGCATCAGCCGTCTGACAAGCAAACTGTTTCCTAGCACATGGCGTGTGTCTGGGAGGGACAGTGGGTCATCAGAGCAGACCATGTTCTGCTTTTCAGTGGAGGAGGGAGGTTAGAAGTCCATGCAATTCCACTGACGTGCCTTGGGCTGCAGATTCCCGAGTCCACGGCTGGAAACCAAGGGCCGCGCTCAGCGTGGCTCAGGGCAGCAGTGGACACGAAAGTGGCACCACAGTGGGCCGTGTTGTGGCCTCCCGGACAGACAGCATGTGTGGATGGACAGCGGGAGGAACGGCCACACTCCGCAGGAAGATGCTGGCAGGTAATGGGGAAGCATCTCTGTCAAGACACATGACGTGACCTACGGCCGGGACGCGAGTCAAATAAGCTGTTTAATCAAGACCTGGCTGATGTGTGCAGATTTCTCTCTCAGTGCTGTGTTCCGAGGGAGACCTCACCCTGGGGGCACCACAGCAGAGCCAGCCATCGCCCCGCACCTCTTCCTCCTCACTGAGCCAGCACCGAGTGCCAGGCAGTGGGCATGTACGGTGGGGTGCAGGCAGGGGCCTGGGAGTCAGGACTGACTTTTAAAAGAGAGGTAGGAGGGGAAGGGATGATCCCGTAGACAGGCAGACGCTCGGGGATTTGGTCAGGAAAGGCCGAGGGTCTCGCGGATCGGCCTGACCTCTCCTGCTTCCCACTCTGTGGTCGCAGCAGCCGCTGCAGTGGGGGATGTGCATGGCCCTGGTGCTCCTCTGGGTGACCGCCGCATCCTCTGCACACTTGGTACCTGCCAGGCACCAGTTCTCTCAATGAGCACAGCACCGAGGGCGCACTGGGATGTGACAGTGTACGGCGAGCACGGCAGCCAGGGCTGCCCACTGCACACAGCTCAAGGGCCTGCGGCGAGGATCGCATTCAGGTTTGGGAACCCAGGGCAGGGCCTGTGCTCTGCTGGCAGAGAAGCCAGGCACCAGGCAGGCCAACTGGTCCGATGGCTGGGGTGGGCCTGTGGGCTGATCTGATGGCTGAGGTGGGCCTGTGGGCTGATCGGACGGCTGGGGTACGCCTGTAGGCTGGGTGCCAGCAGCTGGGTCTCCAGGTGGGAAGGGGTCCTGCGGGGAGCAGAGCGCTGCAGGGGTCAAGGGCCCAGCCTGAGGTGGGCAGAGGAGGATCCTGGGAAGAATGGGGATCTTCTTCCAGGAGAAGATGGGGGCAGAGCCACAGGACCCAGCAGCGGCAATAGCCTGTGAGGGCTGGTGTGCACCCTTCTGACCTTGCTGCCACCTCACTGGCAGGCACTGGCCAGGCTCCACCCGAAGGCCACTCTGCCAGGAGGAGCGACTCGGTCCGGCCTGGCCCCAAGGCTAACACCCATCCGTGGCTGTGGTCTTCCTCATAGCACCTTTCCCTCCTCCCCCAACGGCCCAGAAGGGAAGGTGTTGAGGACCCCATTAGTGGAAGGCTGCGGGTGCTGGGGTCTACCTGGCATCAGCCAATGGAGGGGTCCTAGGAGCAGTGACCTGTGGTCAGGTCACACTGAGGACTCTCCAGGCCCACCTGGTTCTCAGGCTCAGCCTTCAGAATGGACACTAACAAGGTCCCTCCAGGTGACCTGGGACCAGGGGACGGCAGACCAGCACACAGCCCCAAGCTGTGACCACACCGGCCTGCGCCTTCAGAGTAGGGGCCAGCCCAGGATGCACAGTGTGGCCTTGCAGAGCAGTCACCCCCGGCATGTGGACCCCCCAGGAGGGACCCCACTGGCCCCGGGCGGGCAGCTCGGGGGACATGACCCCGTCATTGTCTATGATGCTCCAGCTGGCTGGGCCTCACTGTCCCCTGGGAGGGAGGAGGGCGGACGGGGCCGGCATTTGGAAGAAAAGCATCCGTGTTGTCACAACGGGAGGTGGCAGCGGCAGTGGTGGCAGGGAGCCCAAGGACCCGGGACCTCCACAGGCAAACCTGTGACCCACAGAGTGACCGGCAGAGGCCTGGAGTGTGGATAAGGGACCCGCTGCCAGAACCCTGGCACCCCCCCCCCCCCCCCCGTCACGTGGGCTCTGGGCAGACTCGCTGTGGTTGCAGGCCAGCTGCTCTCTGCCTTTGCCCACGAGGCTGATGTGGGCCGAGTCTCGCCTCTAGGATGGTCTCCATGGATCTGACAGCAGGAAGCAACTAACTCCGAACTATTTGACCCAAATGACGGAGGGGCGAGGACCCCGGGGCCCCCAAGGGCTTCCTGCTAGGCACATCTCTCCTTCGGGAGCAAATCCACAGAGAGCCCTTCACCAGCTCTGGGGATGCCAGGTCCCACCGCACGGTATCACCAGGAGGTGACCAAACCGTTGTGCACAGCTGGTAGGTGCTCCAGACAGAGCTGCAGCCTCAGCCCAGCGACAGTGCTAAGGCCCAGCACAGCTCTGCCCAGGAAGGCAGGGGCATCGGGCATGGAGCTATTCTACGATGCAGGTGTCTCCACGAGGCCCCAGGGAGAAACTGGAGAGGCCCCCCCCACCACAACCCTCACCAAACCAACAACCTCTCCCCCACCACCACAAAACCACCCCACACGCCCCGACTGCCAGGGTTGTTTTGTCTGTCACAGGCTCCCATCTGAACCACTCAGCCACGTGTGATGGAAACCAGAGGGTCTCTGTCGTCCGCAAAGGCTGCGCCAAGCTTGCCCAGGACCAAGGCCAGTCGTGCGTCCAATGAACCCAGGCCCACGGCAAGGTGAGGTCCACCGGGGACTCCCGGCCACGGGCTGCCTGCTTGGCCACACTTGTGGGCTGTGGAGCAGTGCGGGAACCACAGGGATCACGGACCTGATGTACCCACGCAGGACACAGACTTCCTCCCCCGGCAGTGGACCACAACCAGAACAAAACGTCACAGGAGCCGCACTGTCCATCTGCCCTCTTAGGCTTGGAAACAAATTCTGATTTTTCTTTTTATGCATCAATATTAGTGTCTAGGCCCAGTACGGTGCCTTACGCCTGTCATCCCACGCACTTTGGAGCTTGAGCAGGTGGACTCACCGAGTCAAGTGGTTTAGACCAGCCTGAGCCAACATGGTTGAAACCCCATCTCTACCTAAAAATACCAAAAATCAGCCGGAGAATGGTGGCAAGATACCTAACGTAATCCCACGCTAATTGGGAGATGAGGCAGGGGAATCACTGAACCCTGGAGGTGGAGGTGCAAGTGGCTTGAGATCATGCCACTCCACTCTAGCCTGGGCAACAGAGCCAACTCTGTCCTTAAAAAAAAATTGTGTTTAATTGGCATATACTTAAAAAACCATAAAAACTCAAAAAAAAATTCCAGGTTCCCCTTTCTTGGGACACATTCAGCTTGTGGCCCCCTTGGGACCTTTGCTGACCAGCACTTCAAGCCACCAGCCCCCTCCGCTCCCACCCAACGAGCTCCACAGTCCATGGTCCTCATTTCCTGCATCTCAGGCTGCGATTTTTACGAGTAAGGACATCTGCCCCGGAACAGGTGAGTTCACTACCGACGACCGCACTCTGCCTACGGCCATGAGGCCAAGCCCCGGGCCCTCAGGACCGCGGCGTCTGCCATGAGGACAAGCCCTGGGCCCTCAGGACCATGGTGCCTGGTGTCAGGGGCAGCCCCCAATCCTCTCCAGGGAGTGGAGTGACGCGGTTAACAGCCTCCCTGCCTGCCGGTGCTGGGGGGCTTCTGATGTTTTCTGAGCCCTTGCACAGACATGTTCCAGCAAAGAGTGGCATGTGAGCGAGACCCCGGCTGCGTCAGCGGCGAGTCTGCCTGCAAAACCTTCCAGACTTTTGCAGGCGCTGACAGGAACCTGGGAGGCTCAGCCCGGGAGCTCTGTGTGCCCTTCTGGCTGCAGCCCGTCCACTCTGGACACCAACTTGGGCAAAAGCGGGGCTCACCGACCTTGTCCCAAGAGGGCCAATGACAGGGACCCCATAGAGGGCCCCGGAGAGGGTGAGGGGTTGCGTGTGTGACAGTCGGGGACCAGCCCTCCTTCCGGAGGGTTCCACACACTGCCGGCCTCCAGGTAGCCAGGAAGTACCCATGGTGTTCACTAGAGCAGCCCTGAGGAATCCTGGGAGTCTGGAGAAGGGCAGATCACGGAGAGGGCCGGGGGACTGATGCCCAGGACGGCCCTCGCAAGCGGCAGTGTTGGGTAAAACCCGAAAAAGAGTGGGTGCAGGGCCTGCACAAGGTGAGGAGAGGCCAAAAACACTCCTGGGCACTGGTGCCCTCCAGCTGCTGCCCGGCGAGCAGCTTCACTCCTCAGCCTGGGTGCTCAGCCCTCAGCTCCAGTCCTCACTTCTAGTCCTTAGATTCTCCATTAAACTGAATGACTTTCTTCCCAATTAAGGCAGATTAGCAGGGGGTTCATATCTCAAGACTTTGATGCTGGGAGTGGGTGGGGCTGAGAGAGACCCCTCAGGAGGGGGTCGTGGATGCTGGAGCGTGGGGATTAGCAGGGGCCAGAGAAGGCCCTGGGGAGGGAGCAGGAGGCTCGAGGCGAGGGCTCGTGGGAGAGTCTGGCACTGACAATACTGGGGTAGCCTGGGGTGGCCAGAGCCCCAGGCCCTGTGCGTGTGGCGTTTCACCCTCCCACGCTGGGGGCTGCTGTGGTGACACTGAGGCTGTGGCCCCCATGTAGCACCCGGGCCAAGCAGGCCACGCCCCTATCGCCTCCAGCCTGGGGTGTGGGTGAGGCTCAGGTGCCCTGGCAGGATGGAGAGGCCCATGGGGGCCACCTGACCAGGGTCTGGGCCAGGCTTGTAGCTGTGCCGCAGGGCTGCTGTCACCATGCGGGGCAGGAAGAGGTCCCTCCCTCGCCTCCAGCCTGTCAGCTGCCACACCCTGGGCCACGCTGAAGGACTGGGGGCCACGCAGAGGAGGCTGTGGAGGGGGTGGGGCTCCTGCCTGTCTCACCCTCCTGTGCCTCCCCAAGGATGGCACTCAGGGGCCACATCTGGACAGAGATGGGGGCAGCTCCGCCCGCGCCTGTGTCCCGAGCCCCGTACCTGTCTGAAGTTCTCCCAGGAGTTGGTCCAGGTCCAGAAGTGAGCCTTGTGCTGCCCGAGGGTGGTCGCCATCAGCGTATCACCGCGGTAATAGAAGACGGGCCTGTCAGACGGGAGGGGAGGACCATGTAACGATGGGAAGGACTCGCTGGGTCCACCTGGGGGCTCCGGGCTGCGTCCGTCATCAGTGGCTCATGCCTCTGCGTGAGGTCTTGGTTGATACTTTACAAAGATGATCGAAAAGTGAAAAGGCCTGTAAGGTGGCCGGGGCTGGGGTGCCTGGGCGTCCCTTCATTGCTGGTCCTTGGCGAGGTCAGGCCAGGCCCTGGGGAGGGTGGGCAGGTGAGAGGCAAGTGGGTGGCACGGGGTCTCCGGACCACGTTGGGCCTGCGAGGCAGGAACGGGGAGTGGGGGACGCAGCCGGGCACCGTCTCTCCCCACAGTGACCAAGCACTTGTGCCAGTTCCCGAGAGGGGACAAGTGAGCAAAACCCCCTCTGTCCTGCCCCGGAAAGCCAGACGAGGCAGCTGCCTTGGGCCATCCCCACCTTCTGTTTCCCATCAAGCCTTTGGAATAATCCTCATCCCTTCAGGGCTGCTCAGGAAACGTGGTTTGAGTGAAGTGGTGGCTGCTCTCGGGGGTAGGAAATGGACTTTGGACACCAAGGATTTAGACAGAAGTTAAGAGCCGGACGAGCCGGGCCGTGGACTTGGCAGAGCAGCGACTCAGGTGGAAGGAAACTACAGGAAGCCATGGGGCACCGAAAACCAGGCTGGGTAGGGAAGAGGGGTGGGGTGGGCAGGGGCGGTGTGTGCCTGGGTACAGGCAGGGATGAGGCCCCTCTTCCGGCCTCGCTCTCCCTCCTAAGGCCTTCCTGAGAGCCAGGGCCTCGCTGTGCTTGGACCTTCCCAGGGTGGCTCCCGCACCACAGGCAGGTCCCCAGGTCCTCTCGTCACAGGCCCCCCGCCTCCTTCAGCACTGGGCACGAGCACGCCTGTGTCCGCAATGAGGGGCGGCTGGGCCTGGGGTCACATCTGATCATCAGCTCTGGGCGTCACCACTTGGATCCGGGGGAAGGGGCCGGGGCAGTTCTAGCACCAACCTGTCCATCAGCCGGCCCTGCAGGAGGGCGGGGAGGAGACTGAGGCCATCAATGGCCCTGTCTCTGGGCGGCGTCAGGCCTGCAAGCGCCAGGCTGGTGGTGAAGAGGTCCATGATACTGCCCAGCTGGTGGCTCACCTGAAACACACGACAGCAACATGCTCAGGGCACTCTGCCCCGACCCGATGGGGCTGGGGGCCAATCCCGGGGGGACGTGCGCCCCGCTGCCCAGCTGGGTCTACAGATATGCACACATGCGCACATGCCCATGGCAGGGACTGAGCGGAGCCACAAGGCCTGTGAGTGGCAGAAGGGCCTCTAACCAGGTCTCAAAGACCCCAGAGCCAGGCCATGTCCTCACTCCCTGGCAGCCTCCTCTGCCCCTGTGGATCAGATGAAAGGAGAATCACAGCCCTGCCAGGGAGATGCCAGGAGGTCCCACCTCTCCAGGCCCACCTGTCTGGAGAGGACCGCCTCGTTCTAACACTGAAAGCCCTAACGCCACTGTGAGCCCTGCCCCTTAAGTCAGAAAAGCAAGTGGACGAAAACCAGGTGTGGAGGGGCAGCTGAGGCTGGACAGGAGCGCCTCTGAGTGGCTGTGGTGGGGACGGCTCCTGACACACCCAGGGAGCTCCAGGACAGGCAGGAGGGACAGGCAGGCCAGGCCCTGGGGAGGGTGGGCAGGCGAGAGGAAAGTGAGGGCTGCACACACCCTGGGATGGCCACAGGCCTGGGCCTGCTGCCCGGCAGACGGGTGGACGCTGACTCACCTGGCCTGCGGCGATGTGCCCCGGCCACCACGCGAGGGCAGGCTCCCTCATCCCTCCTTCAAACGTGGTCTGCTTCCCACACAGAAAGGGGCCGTTGCTGCCAGCTGGGAGAGAGGGGCCCCACGTCAGGCCACTGGGACCCGATGTCCCCAGGCCCTCCCTCTTCCCAGGTGACACTGAGTCACTGGGACCGGTCATGGGGACAAAGGGCCCGGCCGGGGCGCTCTGGCTGGAGTGCGAGATCCGAGCCTCGGGGCAGCCCTCCAGGGGCTCATCTGAGATGCCGCGGCTGCAACGTCTCCTGGGAAAGTGGCAACGTCATGCCCACTGAGGAAACGGAAACGCAACCACACGGTATCAGCAAGACTCAGAAACGTACACTCCCACAGCAGAGGCCCGCGCCGGTGCGCAGTCGCCGGCGCGCAGTCGCTGGCTGGTGCTTCCCGAACGTGAATGTTCACAAGCCTCCCGGTGTGTGGGGAACTTAAAATGCAGCCAACTTCTGGCCCCCTACGGTTCTGACTCCGTCAGTCAGGGTGGGGTGCAGGAATCTGTGTTTCGGACAAACCCCCAAGACTGGATTTTGGTCTCTGAGCCATCGCTTGTGGGAAGTGCTCATGGGGCAAAGGCCAGCTCCGGTGCCGGCACCATCCCCGGCTCACGCCCAGAAATGGAGGGAGGAGGCAGGGGGCTCATGTCATGAACAAAAACCACTCCTGCTGCTGTAGCCTGAGCACCCGAGACGCTCTCAAGGGGAAAAGGAAACCAAGGGGCTGGCTGTGGTGACTCACACCTGTCATCCCAGTACCTTGGGACGCTGAAGCAGGGGGATTGCTTGAACCCGAGAGTTCAAGACTAGCCTAGACTGGTTTCTACCAAAGAGAGACCATGGCTAAACCCCAACTCTACAAAAACAAAAATTAGCTGGGTGTGGTGGCGTGCCTCGTAGTCTCAGCTATTCAGGAGGCTATTCAGGAGGTGGGAGGATCATCTGAGCCCAGGAGATCAAGGCTGCAGTGAGCTGAGATCACGCCACTGCACTCCAGCCTGGGTGACACAGCAAGACCTTGTCTCAAAAAAAGAGAAAAAAGAAAAAACTGGATGCGGTGGCTCACGCCTGTAATCCCAGCACTTTGGGAGGCTGAGGTGGGTGGATCACGAAGTCAGGTGATCGAGACTATCCTGGCCAACACGGTGAAACCCCGTTTCTGCTAAAAATACAAAAAATTAGCTGGGCATGGTGGCGGGCACCTGTAGTCAAAGTTACTCAGGAGGCTGAGGCAGGAGAATGGCGGGAACTCGGGAGGCGGAGCTTACAGTGAGTCGAGATTGCGTCATTGCACTCAAGCCTGGGTGACAGAGCGAGACTCTGTCTCAAAAAAAAAAAAAAAAAGTATTTTTCTGGTAGTGAAAAAGTGAACCACCCAGGGGACGTGAAGTCACCGCAATTCTTTCCTGCGCTGCCTTCCAAACCCCCCTGAGTGGCAGCGTGGGGAAGCCTCTGAACAGAACCTCGCAGGCAGCTCTGCTCAGAGTCCCTCACAGGCGAACACGCCAACACCCAGAACCTGGCCTGGCTCAGGGAGGGCCCTGCTCATAGCAGCAGAGCCACAGAACCTGTGAGGGGACAAAGGACACTGAGCTAGGGATAGTGGCCACTTCTAGGGGACACTTGGCTCGCAGGAGGCCATGCTGTTCTTTCTTCTTTCTCCTTCTCTCCCTGACTCCCTCCCTTTTCTTTCCTTCTCTCTCTCTCCCCTTTCCCGCTTTTTTAATTTTTCTTTTAGAGACAGAGTCTAGCTCTGTTGCCCAGGCTGCAGTGCAGTGGTGCAATCTCGGCTCACTGCAAGCTCTGCCTCCTGGGTTCATGCCATTCTCCTGCCTCAGCCTCCTGAATAACTGAGACTACCGGTGCCCACCACCACGCCAGGCTAATTTTTTATTAGTAGAGACAGGGTTTCACCATGTTAGCCAGGATGGTCTCGATCTCCTGACCTCGTGATCCACCCATCTCGGCCTCCCAAAGTGCTGGGATTACAGGTGTGAGAACACCTGCGCTGCGACTCCGCTTTCTCTGGATGCTCTGTTTCTAGTCTTGTGCTGGGTGCTGGGTGTGGGGGTTCTCATCTACAAATAGGTACGTCATGCCATTTGTTTGTATGCAAACCCAGCACTTTGGGAGGCCGAGGTGGGTGGAATCACGAGGTCCAGGAGATCGAGACCAATCCTGGCTAAACCCGGTGAAACCCGTCTCTACTAAAAAAAATACAAAGAACTAGCGGGCGAAGGTGGTGGGCACCTGTGTCCAGCTACTCGGGAGGCTGAGGCAGGAGAATGCGCGGAACCCGGGAGGCGGAGCTTGCAGTGAGCTGAGATCGCTGCCACTGCACTCCAGCTTGGGCTACAGAGCGAGACTCTGTCTCAAAAAAAAAAAAAGAAAAAAAAAGAAAGAAATGAGACTCAGGTCGCTGGGGCCCCTTGCCACTGCTGGCTGGTGGTTGTGGGTGCTGGCGTTGAGGTGCCCCCTGGGCTCCC